GTCACGGAACAACTCACTTAATTTGGAACGTTTAAGCAATCTCGACTTGTATTTATAAAAAATTGGGTACCGTTAGAATCGTTGAGAGACGGCGCTTTTCATAGCATAAAATTATTGCCCAGTTAATGCCGATTGCAGGTATAATACCGACATATGCTGATATCACTTTTACATGAAGTAATGTTTGTCTAGGGCATGAAATCCCTTTGCTTATTACTACATTATTTGAAATAAAGCAGCCAGATTGAGGTCGAATATTCATTTATTTTAGATTCTTTTTAAATATGATATGCTATTTTGAAGTTTTCATCAATTTGAATCATTTTATCAAATTGAAAACCAGTAAAGAGGAAATCCCTTTCCTCTAATTTCCCTCGCCGAGTCATCCTCCGCGCCATTTCTCAAGGCTCGAGGTGCGAGGCGTCCGTTTCAGTTTGAGCAAGCGCGTGGGCCGTGGGCAATTATCTATTGTTGATTATAATCATTTGTGGCATGGTTTTTGGGGGTTGTCTTGCACAAGACCTTTTTTCTTTAAGTGCTGGCATGTTTTTGTGTCTTTGTGGTTCGTTATTTGTTGGTTATATTTGCTTCAAGCTGGATTGCGTCAAATTTGTCAAACTTGCATTATATCAATATAGGTATAAGTAGGTACAAGGCCATTGATACTGATACTATCTAGGTAGGTAGGTACCAGTCCACTTGGCTATGTTTTGATTTTGCTTAAAGGTATTTCAAATAGTATTTCAATATACTTAGCAGTTTTTGTTTCATGTGAAAATGTGTCATTTGAAAAGCATATTCTGGATGTTGTGTATATTTTTATACCCCATTCATTTTTCTCACTGCATTCACAATTTTAAGAATTATTTGTATATTTTCCATTATGAATAATTTTGAGCATCAGTGGTCATCCATTACCTGCATGTCCAGATTTGCTAACTAATTATAAATAAGTCTAACACTTGGGCTGTAAGGCCACAACCTGCTGCGTTCCTTGAACCCTTATTTTATATCTAGAAGCTGCTGTTTCTGACTGAGACTCTGGCAAATATCTTGTATACTTAAAGCATACCTAGAACAATACGCGTGGCCCTACAGTGCCTTACTTTATGATTTTTGTTCCGTGAGCAGCTAAACATTTTGTTCCGCGAACTTAGATCCCCAAACCACTTTTCTGACACTGAAGAGATGTCGGGGAAATGTCGGGAAATCAGTCGCGGAGCACCAGCCCGCTATTTCGTTAGTTAATTGAGACGTACGGCGAATATAGAGCACTGCGACTGCCAACTTGAAGTTATTTATTTGCCCATAGGTCAAGAAGAATCAGCGGGTCTTGAGGGCATGCTGATCGAAGATAAAGCTACTTTACCGTGCCTGATAAAGAGCTTTCTCAATGTGAGCAGTATCTCTGTTGAAAAAAAAAAAACAATACAGTCGATAAGTCCTTTATGTTCCTCCCCCCTCTCTCTCTCCCTCCTTCTCTCTCTCTCTCTCTCTCTCTCTCTCTCTCTCTCTCTCTCTCTCTCTCTCTCTCTCTCTCTCTCTCTCTCTCTCTCTCTCTCGCCCTCCATCTCATCTCCTTATCACCCTTTCTCTCTCCTCCGCTCGCCGCAGCCAGGTCGGTCACGGTCGCCCAGTCTGCCACCCTTGATCTCAATGCACCGCGCCCCGGGCTGATCTACACCAAACGCCCGCCCGCTACACCCTATACCACGTCCCACACGCCCTCTCCCCGTCCACACTCCACAGGGACTTCCCAGCAGCGGCGCACCAGCCTCAGACGCCCTGGGGCGGTCAGCCCGGCCGGGGGTCAGAGTGGTCAGAGGGAGGGCCTAGAGAGAGCGGACTGAGAGGCACACTGCGCACTGCGCAGATGGACGGATGTATGTCGGGGGCGCTTCGACAGCCGAGTTGTTATGCAGGTCACCGGTTAATCCCAGTTTCCGTGCCGGCCTCTCGCCGGCCACAGGTGATGTAAGCTGAAAGGAAACACGGTCAGCCAGGCTGTGACACGGAAGGGGTGTCCACGGCGGCGCAACGTGGACAAACACCTGTCAACCCTCCGGGAAAGAAACCGTTGTGTGGGATCGGACTGACGCCGGGTGAGGGGAAACGGACGACACGTGGTGAACTGACGCAACCGCTCCGTGACCGTCACATGTCACATGGCTGTGACGGTCCGTGCGGGACGGGGCTGTCCCGGTGCTGACTGGCAGAAAACCGCCGGCAGCGTGAAGGCAGGCCCCCCCCCCCCCCCCTCCCCACCACCCGGGAGAGTCAGTCAGCATGGACAGAGACCGTGACTGGGCACGGGCGGGGCCCGGCAGCTCCGCTACACCCACGCACCGGTCATTTACGGGCCGGCCACGCCTGCCGGAATGGCCGTCAATGGCGGTCGGTACTGGACCGCCGTCGGTGCGGGACTTCCCAGCGCGGCGGGATGAATGGGTAGGGAAGGGGAGCGAGGTGAGCCAGAGGTGGTCAGGGGCGGAGAGAGGGAGAGAGAGAGAGAGAGAGAGAGAGAGAGAGAGAGAGAGAGAGAGAGAGAGAGAGAGAGAGAGAGAGAGAGAGAGAGAGAGAGAGAGAGAGAGGGAGAGAAAGAATGCGAGAGAGAGAGAGAGAGGGACAGGGACAGGGAGAGCGGGGGAGAGAGGGAGAGAGAAAGAGAGGGAGAGAGAGAGAGAGAGGGGAGAGAGACTGGTCCGGTCCAGTCTTGTTTTTTTTTACGGTCAACTACAGTCCAGCCTGTTTCAGGCACTATTTACATAGTCAGGTCATGGTCCTGTGCAGTCCAGTGACAGTCCGATCTGGTCCAATCCAGTCCAGTCTAGTCCACTCTAGTTCTGGTCCAGTCCTGATCCGATCTATTTCCGACTGTCAGCCAAGACAGTAAGACAGCATTTTATCATAATACCATCATATATCCCTTTAAGCATTGGCCATTATGATCCATTTACCGTGGCTACCTACTTATTTTCAGCCCCTTCGTTTTTATTTTATATTTCCTAAATAATGTCCCTGTTTTTACTTAGTAGCTTAAGCAGCTTATTGCTAGGTTTGCGGAGCGCGTCGGTGCACCAAACAAGTAGGTTTGATACGGTGATTTTACATGCAAATAAAGTGAGGTTCCCGCTGTTTATGCAGCGCATTCAATCACGGAGCGCCATGAAAGTAATACCACCATGTGCAAGAAATGATTACGAAGAGATGCTCTTCAGCGGGTTTACAGCGTCGTAAAACATAACTACAATAGTCATTAGCGACAAGCGAGGGAATAGTTGAGGCAAATAAAGAACATAAATGTGTCAACTGTACAACAGACCCAAAGCGCAAACCTTCCGTGATGACTAATAAGCCCGCCCACCCAGTCATTACGCTAAGTAGTGAACCACACAGCTGGTGAGTCTAAAATCGCCGCGATGGTCGAGGCCTACACACATCACATCCGTTCATTCACCCTTTGCCCACCACACTGCTGAAGAGAAACCCCAGCCCGACCTCCCCAGCAGACTACCACCACACCGATTCAACACGCTATGCCCTCCAGCCTTCAATGACGAGCACATTTTCCTCGCATATTTCACAGCACAGCGACAGACCCAGCGGCAACTCCGCGGTAGGCCCGCGCCCGAGCCCCGGGCCAGCGGCAGGGCCGGGTGGAGGTCCGAGTCCGGTCCAGCCAGTAGCGGGGCCGGGCGGCACAGCGGCCGGGGAACCCCTGCTCACCGCCGCCGGCAGGTAAACCGACGGCGGGAAGCCAGCCCAGTGAAGTCCCGCACTGTTTGCGCGACCTCGCAGCCGGCCAGGCAAATGGGCACAGGCATGCACGGGGAAGGGCTGCATGCGGTCGCTTCCTTCCTCGGCTCGCTATCGATACGGGATGTGGTGAGGCGAGAGTGTCGCATAAAGCCGAAACCGGGGAGTCCAGCAGTTGTCACTCATCGTTCAGCAATGCGTGATAGCGAAGGAGAGAGCAGCGAGGGTGTTACTGTTGCTGTATCCTAATTAGCGGCGTTTATACCCGATTTCGCAGTGTTTGGAAAATGTGTCACCTATGACGCAAATTTGCAAGTTTTCGGCATATATCACGTGCTCACTGTGGACCCAGTCGAGTTCAGATCCGCCAAATTACACATCCTTTTTCAACACGGTGAACAAACTTAACGTTGTCACTTAAAATCAATTAGCTCGTAGCCCAGAATAAAGGCAACGATCTCGGGACAGCACATTCCACGCCTTGTGTATACAATGTGGAAGGTTCACACTACTCATAAATGGTTAGACTTGTAGCTTAGAATACACGACACGATGGCGGCCGGGACCTTATGACCGCAGGGCGCTAACCGACGCATCATTATCAAAAAGAGAAAAAAAAATATTTACGCCGTTTTTGCAAGGAAAAAAGTTGCCACCAGAGAGTAGTGGCGTTTTCATTACTGCGCTTACAACAGTGTATTATGAGCATTAAGTCAGCCATGATAGGGGGAAATTGTTCCAGAGACAGACACCAATATAACCCTTTCATAAACGTCCCAAAGCTTCAGGGAATCCCCACGCAGGAAAGCTATAAAGCATTCACACAGGTTGTCATCTACTTCCAACAAACATTGGCGAAATGCACACACCTCCCTCTGACTACTCAAACATTGGACTGCGCTAACATATGCGGCCGAACCGTGGCCCCGGCCCGAGAGGCGCTTCCAGGGGCCAATTCTGCCGAGCGGTGAAGTACCGCCGAATCTGTCACAGTGCTGTGTTTTGCCAGTCGCGCCCCGCAGCAGTAACAGGTTCAGTGGCCTCTGCGCCTGGCCTTCGGTGGTTCGACAGCCTCTGTGAGCCCTGTGGCCCCGGCGGTCCGGCAGACCTTGGGAGCCCAGAGGCCCCTTCAGGTCCACTGACCCCTTCTGGATTAGAAACCCCCCTCCAAGTTCAGTGACCCTCAAATATCGGTGGCCACAATAGCTGCCCAGGCCCCGTCTGACCAGCAGTGTAACACTCACAGGTAGGCGAGCAGGCAGCGGCGGTTCCTCTCAATGCCGGCGTGTCGCACCCAGACTGCCGCTGACAGTGATCCGCCCACTCCGCTGGCGTCCAGGTCGACGCTGGCGGCCGGGAAAGGTCAGGTCAGCTTAATGGGTTTAAACAGCACACCGTCTCCATCGCTGGTGTCCAGAAGACAGGTCAATATTAATGGGTGCCGGTCTTAAGTCAGAGCCATATGAGAGTGTCGAAGCGATGAAACTGAGCTATTCGGGACGAAATCAATACGGGCTTCGGATAGCGTTGACCATTATGCGGAGGATTGAGGATGACTTTAGAGCCACCAACAGCTCGAAAACACGTTTTCCCAGCTAACTTTTTGTAAAAGAGATTGCTAAGGTCATGGTACAGGTCACAGGACCAGGATCAACCAAATAATAGTGCATGAGTATGCCTATTTGGGCAGTTACGGCGAACCCGTCTAAGGCCCGCAGCCCGGCGCCAAAAGGTGGCGCTGTAGAACATCCACCAGGTGGCAGGGCTGCACAGCATACAGCGGGGCGCAGTACCCTTCATCGAATGCGGCACCACTGGCGTGTGGTGAACGAAAGACAATCGGCGCTGGATAAGCTTAGGACATTCCTGAAATGAATTACAGCGATAGAATTAAAAAGAGCTACATGAAGCAGCTACAGAAGGAAAGCTAGAGACGCTACATGTAGAAGCAGCGAGAAGGAGCTACAAGAAGAATATGGGCTGGTATGAATATCAATGATGGTCCAGCAGGTGAAGACATGGCAAGCTTGATGCTGCAGGTAGCTCAGCTATCCAGAGGAGCTGGTATATTACTCACACGTCGCGCCGGTTGGCCTCGAACAGTGTGCGAACCTCCTGCAGCACCTGGCGCACAGTGGCGTCCTGAGGGAAATGAAGGAGACGATTTACATCAGCAATGACATAGCACCACCACAAAGCATGACTTGAGGGATGGTGCAACTAGCCAGTGGCAATGTCTTAAAAGGACCTAAATTAGCAATGATAAAGTGCTCACAGAGTTTTTGTGACCCTATCATAAAACGTAACGCAGTATGAATGTTTACCTAAAATAGCATAGGTACTGGCGGCTGGTTAGAATATAGTTACCTACATTCCCACAAAATACCAATTCTGAGAACATCTCACTTTCTAGACACACAAAAATGTGACCAGGTGCAAAAAGTCAACACAGCACTAACTGAATAGGTAGGTAGGTAGAAAGCAATTATTTGGCCACCAATATCATTGTGCAACACCATCCAACACTCACATTGTATGGTGGCAGGCTGTCAGGTGTCCTCTTCAATTCTCTTATGAGCTCCAAAGCTTTAGCTCCCAACATTGTTAACTGAAAACAGGGCATTCTTCAAAGCAAAAGCATTCATGTTGATGAATTTGAAACTCACCCAACCTTAAAGGTAGAGAGCTACTGAATGAATGGGATTACAAATAGTTCTATTTAGTTCACACACATGTCACATTCTTGTTCTTGTCATCAGACATAGAATGGGAGGACATAATTTATTGTAATAATGCTGATGTTTAAGAGATTCAATGCATAGGGGTTGCATTTTGAATTTTCACATTTTTTGCACAATACTACACTGTCCCGGTGCAACATATGTTCAGTAAGGTTCTGGAGAAAGCTGCATCCCAGTGTATTTTAGCTCATGTTCGCCCGGTTTTATCCCAGAAACAGCATGGTTTCATGCCAAAACGGTCATAGTCATGTGACAGCAACTCAACTTGTCAAATTTGCAGCATGCAGGGTGGGAGGCCATAGAGAACAAAAAAGCAGCTCGATTGCATATCAATATATACCGACTACTCTGCGGCGTTTCAGAGCGTAGATCATAGACTTTGGTCATTCACATGGAGCCTGGAGGTCCATGCTGATGCTTCAAAATTAGTTAATCCCTATAATATAGACATCATTCTATAGAGAAACTCATGTTAATTGGACATAGGTGATAGGTACCTACTGCCTTGAATAAAACTGAGACACGAATTTAAATTGAAATGCAAAGGGGTAATTCAAATTGACAAATTGTTACGTTTGCAAAAAGAAGCAGCAAACAAGAACAAGAAATGTAGGTACCTATTCAAAACATAGGCAGGTGTCCCGTGAAACACACTATCCCCATTGACAGGTTACTATCAGAGGTCAATGCTATGCTATCCCTAACACTAGTATAAAAATAAATTAATATAAAAGAGCCCTAACCACACAGGCCACACAGTTGCGGGCCCGCCGAGCGAACGTAGAATTGAAACGGGATCGCCAGATATGTATGAAATAATGGAAATGCACGTCTACTAATTCAAGTGTCGTCCAACTAATATAAAGTAAACCAGATATTTCGTTTCAGAGATATATTTTTTGTGATCATTGCTTGCTTTATTTAGTCGTGTAGAATTTTTGACAATGAAAAAAATATTTTTTTGATTGAAAAACTATACACTTAAACCGATTGATACTGAAATTAATTAAAAACCAAAGATAAGATCTCGAACAGGTTAGATTTGTTAAGGGATCTCCAGAAGGACAGTGGCTTATGTCATTATGTGTTTTGGTTTCATTTCAGGCACAGTGTCACAAAAGTGATAATGCAGGGGTCGAACAAGTAAGAATGCATGCGCACGAATGCAGCATCCAAGGCCGCATCTACTTTGCCACGATACCTCTGATATGGTAGTAATATGGAAGCGCCGAGTTGTTTGGGTTATGGCGCAACAGCTTCAAAATACAGCCAGCGCGGCTGGCGTATATTTTTGTGTGCGTCCGAAATTGCGTCCATCTCAATCTATGAATTTTTGGCATGTTTATAAAGATCGTAGGCAAGTTTATAAAGTTTATGAAGGCTATAAAATCACAAAAGCTTGCATCAGCTTGAGATGACATATACGAACTTCTTCTCATTAAAAAATTGAACGTGAACCTGATGGATAGAATTAGATATTATATCATTTTCACATATTTAGGCTATGGACAGATGACAGTTGATACCTATTTTCTAATGTCTGACATGCATGTTCACAATCTGAAGTAAAGTCAAAGTTGAACTGCGGAACATAGGTTATAAACAATGACACCTGCTTTATGACGGTGGCTTGACGGTGGCTGCATTCAAGGCACAGTGTGGCCTAAGGGCATGTATCTGGAGAATGAGATTGCAACACAAGTTGTGGCACTTTTTAATAAGGTTATTTTGAATTCCTGTAGCATGTGAATTATGAGGCTGAAGGCTCTGTAAGGAATTATTTTTTCAATTTATTATTTTTTAGAAATTCAGTGACGCGTGCTCTGTTACAAGCCCTGAGGGCACCCCTCTCCCAAACGACCACCCTTTGAGACTGCTTATAAAGCTGTCTCCAAATATCAGGCATCAACCACTAACCAGACTTCTGCAGTCAGCTCCATCAATTGGATTGAATGTAATGTCTTGTAATGTCTTGTTTTACCTCTTGCCATTCTCATTCTCCTGCCTCAAAACATGGATAAGCTGGACTCAGGTCTACTCACCTAGTTAACTGATCTGGTTGGGATATCAGTGTCAAGAAAAGGAGTTGGAAGGAAAAAAGGAAATGCAGGGACCCCTGGATCATAGACATGCCAGCTGTCAGAGCGGACAGCTGGCACTCTGGCTCCTTACTCTAAGGACAGCTGGCTCCTTAGCTCTAAGGAAGATCTTCACTTGTGGTTGGCTGGGCAGTGTAGAAAGATGGAATTTAGTGTCTTCCATTGAGTCTAACATTATGCACAAACACATTGTAGGTACCTAGTTTGGTATGGAGGTTGTATCTACATATCCATTTCATGTGAAATGTAATGAGACATTTTTGGCATTACAGATGTGACAATTTGCAGGTTTTGGGAGTAGTTTTGAGGGTGAAGAAAGCTTCAAAGTATTGACATGGATATTGATGAGATCTACTCTCATATTGGGGAGTTTGGTCCCATGCAAAAGAAGTATGTCTTTGGGATTTGTTTATCAAGTTTGTACACTGCATTCATAAATTTAAATCTGGAATTTGCTGGTGAGTATGTAGATGATTTCTCATTGCTGTTGAAATTGCATCATCACTTAATTTTTGTTCTTAGCTTTCACCATTTCTGAGTGTATCTTTAACTTGACTGATGTTTTCTGCTTTTAATGTGGACTTGTTATGTAATATCTTAAATGTTATTTTGGAAGTGCCATTTGATAAAATTTTATTGCATGGCCAATGATACAAGACTGATAATGGGTGTTCTTTTTCAGCATTTACACCAGAATTTTCATGCTATCCAAAAGATGGTGGCTCTACACCACTTCTCAACAGATGTCCAAACAATGAAATATCAAAGTGTGTTGACTTCAAGTATCACTCAAATTACACAACATTGGTTACAGAGGTGGGTGTTCATGCATATAATACTACCACAAGCAGCTAACTATGTATATGTTGGGACTTAAGTTGGAAGTTGGGACCATAGGTATGCACCTTGATATTGAATCCTCGTCATAACAGCAGTTTCATCGATTAATATCGAGAGGTCCTTGCACATTCCCTTGTTGATTTTTTTTTCAATTTTTTTTTTTAAATAAATTTAGTCCGAACCTTTTCATAGGAATGATTCACAAGGACAGAGCCACCGCTAAGCGAAGCTTGTTGTGGTAACCCCCCTGCCCTCTACCCTCCGATCGCGCAATTCCAGTTCTATGGCAGAATTTAGAGTCCAAAGCTTAACGTGCGCACAAAGCCGTGCACGGCCGGTCCCCTCACTGACTTCGCCTGGCTACGGCCTGCCACCAACCGCAACCATACCCGTCAGGAGGCCCATAAATGTCAAGCGCCCGTCGCCCTTCGAACCCGGACTGTTGTAACCGGGAACGCGTGCTCTCACCACGCGGAGTCCAACGCTCTACCAACTGAGCTACGGGACCGGCAATTTATCTGATTTATCTGATTTGTTAATTCTCTTAAATTGGTTTGTGTCTCTTGAACCAGGGCTTCATTCGAAACTTCGTTAACCAGGCTTCGCAGTAAGTAGTAACCAGGACTTCGTAAACCAGACTTCGCAATCGATGTCGAAGCCAGAGTCGTTCGTAGTGCGGGCAGTTCGGGCCGGAGTCCGGGGTCCAGACGGTTCAGGTCGGAATCCGGACAATTCAGGCCGGAGTTCCGGCCGGAGTCCGAACAGTTCAGGCCGGGATCCGGACAGTTCGGGGCGGGCCGGAGTTGGAGTAATTGGTCACCGAATTCGTCTTGCCAGTGCATTCATCTTGCTAAGCCAGTTTTTAAGATGTTACGCTCGTTTAGTGTTTCTTGACATCTTTTCGCAACCAAAGCCATAGACATTCGTGTTTTGGACAAACGTTTTTAGCGTGACAGGCAGACGACAATGGCGCCACAAAAATTAGTAACTTGAGTCAAAGTTGAGGTTTTGTCAGTGCTTTGATGCCGGAGTCGGAGTCATATAAAAGCCGTCGACTCGACAGTCCCGTTCTATAAATGATGGAGCTACAACATCGTTGAGGGAAGCACTCAATGCTTGTTTAACCCTCGCCGGCACAAGGGGGGGATTGATGCACCCCCCCTAAGGTTTTTCGCGAATAACCCGCGTAAAAAGCGGCCGATGGCGACGAAACTTTAACCCTCGCCGGCACAAGGGGGGGGGTTGATGCAACCCCCCCTAAGGTTTTTCGCGAATAACCCGCGTAAAAAGCGGCCGATCGCGACGAAACTTTCAGTACCCTCGCATTGATCAATTTTACACCTACCCTGAAAATTTCATAACCCTGACCCCAATGACCTTTGACCTGTGACCCCTTTTCCGTGACCATGTTTGGCCGAAATCGCGATTCGGCGTATGTCGGCTCGCATTAGCCGCGCGTTTGCAAGCTTTTCGTGGTTTCAAACGTTCAAACATGTGATTCGATGTTGCTCCCATGCATAAGGGTGGGTGTCAAGGTCACCTGAAGGTCAGGTCAGGTCATTGACCTTTGGTGACCTCGGTTCACTTTTTCGAGTTTTACATGTTTCTAGGCTAGTTTTTGGAGCTGAATTCGAATTTAGCAGCCATTTGAACATTTACGAAGTAGTTTTGGTGCCTTCGTAACATGTTACGAAGCTGTCAGAGGCGGATGACAGGTACTACGAATACCCGTCACGACCCCTACCGGTTGACCTTACCTGACCTGAGCTGACCGACCTGACCTGACCTGACCCGACCTGGTCTAAACGCTTAACGACATCATCTGTGATCAAAACTAACACGATGTTCGTGATCAGCACCCCGGAAAACCCCTTATCAGCCACGCTTTACGACTTTCTAACAGGTCCCGATATTCCCGATTTTTGGGTCATTGACCTGACCTGGAAGGTCACCCGATGACCTAGGACCTTAAAATTGGGTATCATTGGCTTCCTCTCGTGACGGGCAACACGTTCGTTTTTTTTCCGCGAAGCTCTAGCTCCATCAGGGGCCAAACGCGAGGGGGGGGTCGTACCAACCCCCCCTTCTGCCATCGAAGGACTCAAAATGGCCTGTGCCGGCGAGGGTTAAGGTCTTTTCTTTAGTATTTCGTCATGTGTGCAGATAATACGTATGTCGTGAGATAAAATACCTACGGCATATTTTTTTGGACAATCGCGAAAAAAAAACGTGTCGGAGTCGGACATTTTATGATTGTTGCAACCCTCCCCATGTGCATTTGTGGTCAAATATGCTGCTAAGCCGTCGCATTATTTACGCCGTGCCGTGCTTCAGTAGTACCTGGTTTGTAACCCGCTTATATAAATATGTTTACTGGAGTGGGAGTTTGTGTCTTGGACCTGAAATATAACTATCTTTTATATTTGTCTCCACAGTGGGACCTGGTGTGCGACCAGGCGTACCGGGCCAAGGCCAGCCAGTCGGTATACATGGCCGGCCTGATGCTGGCTGCTCCTCTGATGGGGCCGCTGGCGGACAGGATCGGCCGCCAGCGCACCATGTTCCTGTATCTGCTGATGCTGATCGCCTGCCTGGGAGGCAGCATGGCGGCGCCCACCTACGATATATTTGTGTTGCTTCGGTGAGAGCGGGGCGCGGATGGAAAGAGGGGAAGAGTGGGATGGTAGGATTAGGGGGAGTGATAGGTAGATATATATTTATAAGTAGGATGGGTGGTCATATGGACTCGAGGGAATTTGTACGAGAAAATTTCATCATGTATAACATTGATGCAGCTTAATTGCAACTTGATAGTTGGGTGGAATCTAAAATAGTCTTCGGCGATATTCGATTACCGATCTTTCTTACTGACAATACCGTCTCCGGCCGCCGGCACTGCCTGGATCACTTCTGCACAGCGCACCCAGCACAGTGAGAGACGCCTGTCCGTCCACCGCGCGTGCCGTGGCCAAATAGACACCCACCACCACCGCACCGCTCCCTTAGTTGGACATCGTGTGCTGCCTGCTCAACCACTGCACCACGTTCAGTTCGAGCCTGTTCGTTGTCCGTTTAATTGTACTCCCTATTTTATGTTTGTATCTTTAAATTTGACGAATGTTCTTTTTTTTTTTTTCGTTTGCAGTTCAGTAGATCATAGACTTCTGCACACGTCCAGAGGTCTATGATTAGATACCAGATATATATTTATAAGTAACTTGCCTAAAGCATCCTTGAAAAGTAGACGTTTAGGTACATATTCCCAGCTTGAAGGGGTATGGATTTGCATTGCATTGTTTAATCCGTCTGTGCTTGCGTAGTTCCTCTGTAGTTGGAATCGCTTCATACTGTACCTGTTCAGTTCAGAAGGATTCTATGTTTGTTTGCGATTGCCATGGTTTGGGCATGGTTTAGGTAGTATTATTTACTTTTCTCTCTCACGTGTAGCGTAAGAACGGTTTGTTTTTTGCTAACCGGCTACACGTGATCTCGATATATGCGCGCCTACTGATGTCAGCTTGCAGTGGTGCCTCATATTCGCTGTACTCACCTCTCAGAGATGCCCTGAATCTTCTCCCTCCTCCCCACCACTGCCTACCCCCCCCCCCCCCCCGGATGCGTGCTTCAGATTCGTCTCGGGCTGCGTCATGATCGGCGTGATCCTCTCATCATTCGTGCTGGTTTCTGAGCTGGTGGGCGGTGCTCAGCGGGCGTTTGTCGGCAACCTCATCAGTGCCACGTTCGCGCTGGGCATACCGGCACTATCAATGTCTGCGGCGCTGGTACATAGCTGGCGTCAACTGTACCTGCTCATGATGGTGCTCGGATGCTGCTACTGCACACTCTACTTGTGAGTACCGTGGAAAAGGAACAGGAAGGCACTGAACAATCCCATAGCAGCTTACTGTAATTTGGAGTCACAAAGGATGGAAGGAAACTGCACTTTGTAAGCGCCCTGACGACGTATCTCTAGGTGTAGAGGACTGCGTGAGTTTAGAATTGTTTTTTTTTCTTGGGTTAAGATCGTTACGTTGATTTTACATGTGTCCGCCAACTGTCAGCCTCTAACCCATTTAAATCCTCCCCCCCCCCCGCAGCTACATCCCGGAGAGCCCGCGCTGGCTCCTGCTGAAGGGCCGCCCGGAGGCAGCACTGCGTATCCTGCAGCGCACGGCCCGTGGTAACGGAGTCCCTCTCCCGGCCGGCACTACACTGCGAGCACCGGCCGGTCGGCCCGCCGCCGGAGCGGGCCCCCCGGCCGAGGGCGTCACATCGCTGTTCAAGTACCGCAAGGTGGCCGTCTGGACACTGATCATGATGTTTTCTTGGTGAGTGAGAGTTAGTGTAAGTCAGGAGGCGTGGAATGCGTACGACATCGAACCGCATATTCTGATCGTGATCGGTGAAATACGCCTTTTGTGTTCGGTGACTGCGTTGTTTTGCACTATTATTTTAAAATGTTAAGATAAAAGTGAGGTATGCAGCCAGCTGTTTCCCTTCCGTTCTTATATGCAGTATTTGTCGATAGCAGCACGCATAATGTACATAGGTACGTTTACCAAATGATTTTATATAATAACATGGTAGCTTCGCGCCCTTCTCTTTAACTGTTTCCTTCTCTTCACGGTTTCCTTATCCAATGAACGCCATCCCCACGACCTTTCACTCACCTGATGAGAGCTCACCCCACCCTCATCCCTTGCATGCCAGGTTCGTCAACAACCTGTGCTACTACGGGCTGACGGCGGCGGCTGCCACCATGGGCAGCGATCGCTTCTCCTCGGTGGCCCTCAGCGGCCTTATCGAGCTGCCCGCCTACGTCATCGTGGCCCTCGTCCTCAACAGGTGGGTGACGAGAGTGCTGGTCGACCTATTCCCGGGATGACGTTTTTGGGTTACGCGCTACGGCCCCGCCATGTGGACTGTGGAGAGTACAGTGTGAATTATCGGTACTCTGGTCTGCCGCGAAGGTCTTGCCCAACGTTGCCGTCGTGGAGTCGTCAAATTAAGTATGATTGAATGCTCAATTACCTCCGGGTTTTGCAACTGGGGTTATTAAATATCTTGCCTTGATCTAGGAAGCGCTGATAGCCACAATGTGGATGTATTTCTAGCCCATTCTAACCGTGTGTTTACCCGAGTTTACTCCTCGACTGGGGATGCTCAAATGCGCCACCCACCACTCCCTAACAATCCCTCCGCCGTGCGTTCGCCCAGGTTCGGAAGACGGATGCCGCTGTGCGCCTTCATGCTGCTGGGTGGCGTCTGCTGTCTGTCCATCGTCGGCCTGCCGCGGCGGGACGAAATGTCACACGTCAGGATGATGCTGGGGCTCATTGGTAAGTGTTACCGCTGACATTGTGGGCGATGATGTAACTAGATTACATAGTCTGTCACTCAGTCCGCCGTATTTTGTATGGCGTCAGTTCTGTTGTGTTTTCGGAGACTAGAAATACCCTTTCTTTGACTATGACCCTGGAGGCCGCATAAAAATTAGAAGACTGAAGCAGTATCCCACTCATGCGCAGTTATTCGAATGTGATTTTGTAAGTTTTATTTCATTTTTATTTCACCCAACCCCGGCCCTAATCTGCACTGCCCGGTTTTCGTAATATCGAGCGTATGTGTAAATTGTAAACCAGCCTCTCCCCTTCTCACAGGCAAGCTGTGTGTGTCGGCCAGTTTTTCGGTTATCTTCATCCACTCGGGGGAGATTTTCCCGACGTCGATCCGAAACACGGGCTACGGCTTGGTTAACGTGTTCGCTCGGCTCGGCGGCATCTGCTACCCGTTCATGGCACTGCTGGTAAGTTGGTCCGTCGCTTCCCGGAGGGAATGGGTGGGTGCCTGAGGAGTCGGTGGGTGGTCCAATGGAATGGATGGTACCCTTAATGGTCCGTGGAGTGGAAGAATGATAGTCTGGGACGACACATTTTTAGGCTCATCTCTTCCGTCGCCCTGAAGGCCTTCCCCCTCCCCCTCCAGAACGATATATACCCGGACCTGCATTTCGTCGTGTTTGGTGGTCTGGCGGCCGGCTCAGGTCTACTCAACCTCAGTCTACCGGAGACGCTGGGCCGACCTCTACCAGAAACGGTAGAGGAACTGGCGGGTACAGAACGCTCCACCGAGATGTATTCTCCACTGCGACACGTAGAAGAAGATGATGAAGGGGGCAGTGATGGCGAGCTACCGTCGACCGGACGAAAACGGTCTGTCAAGGCTGTGTGATGGCCATGGCAGGGAGAAGGGAAGGTGAAGGACAGGAAAGGGTTTTGGTTTGTTTGGTTAGGAATGGAGAAACGGGTGCGAAATGTTTGCCGTCCGTATGAAGTGTTCTCCGTTGGAAGGCGTATTGTTGTGAGGTGTGATCAGAGTTATTGTTAGTGAATTATCGTGAAGCTGTGCAGTTCTGTGGTGTCTCGATAAGTAGGAATAGAAAGGAAAACATCCTTTTTGCCAAATTCAAATCAGTTGATATCGAAAGGATTCGTAAAATCAACCCTATTATAAACAAATGCAAGGCTTAAAATTCCAATTGCCAAAACTATCGAAATCAGTTTTGTGTCAGGTAACCAAAAATTCGATAACCCATAAGTAGAGTTATTAAGTGGCAGTGGCGGCGGAAGGTATTCTAGGATAGGGGTGCAAACGATATTGAAGCGCCCCTTCCCGCTGGGCGCCCCTTACCATGCCGATGGCCGTCCCTGCACTGGAAAATCAGTTTCGCCCCTATACAGGCGCCCATAGAAGTTTGCAGAGTGCTATTCCTGGTCATAATCATCTCCCCAGTAAAAAAAAAAAACGCAAAATACGCCCTAGCACTAGGGGTGTAACCGCCCATACGGACAGTGCAATTTTACAGGCCCCAATCTCGGACCTCCCTTAACATTCATATGTTGTAAACGGCAAACCGCCCCCGATAAATGTTACACAAACAAATTTCCTCTCGCATATCGGCCATCAGGCGCCCCTTTTTGTCGCATGGAGCCTGCAACGCTATAAGCCCTCATATGTTCGTGTTGGCGTTCGGAGGCTATCGCCTTCAAAGACGTCTCCATAAATGTTTCTTTTTCGTCCCACACACAGGCGCCCCTCTTTCGCATGCAGGCGCCCCTCTTCCGCATGGCGCGCTTCTCGAGTAGCTGCGCCCTCCTAGCCTTTATCGCCTGGCAAGATTATATTCGACAGGGTCGGCAGCATCTGCCTTTGTTTCAGATAAGGATGCCCTCCACTCTTCAGCATATCAAAAGATACTTTTCCCACGTCATTGCCACCCTCTTCGTGTCACAAGTGCCTTTATCAGTTGCGGTGTCGCCTCGCACTGCTCAGCTTTATGGCTGCCGCACCTCTTAACTTCCTGCCTCCTCTACAGATTTTCGAGGCGCCCCTTTCCATAGCTTTAGGGTGCAGCTGCCCCCCTTGCCCCCCTGCTTCCGCCGCCACTGTTAAGTGGTTGAAATTTTGCTACTGAAATTTGTATATTGAGAAGAAAGTATCACCGCTGAGTGGATTAGACCGCTATTTTCTCGCTATTTTCCATACATTTTACAACGGTTTTGTGCTAGAGCCTCTTAGAGGTCAAAGTTCGGTAGGACTAAGAGCTGGACGGAGGTTTTGTGAGCAGTTCTCGGTAGAATGTGACCGTCCAACCCACACGGGCCTCAGCTGCCTCAATGCTACGGCCCGGCCCCCGCGTGCGGCGCACCGGGCAAAACTGATACCACTTATTAGTCATTCCAGACTGGTAGTTGTGTTACATTTTAGCCGTTCCCTCGTTCCCTGGGTGTAGTGAGTTTATGAAGTGGAATCTGCTGCATGGTCGATAGGAGGTACTTACGATACGAGCTGTGTATAATCTTCCAGCCTGAGTACTGGACTGACAGACCTGGAAAAATATTTTATGGTCCGAAATAGATAGAATATATCAGTCTATTTGAGTAGCACTCTATTTGAGTAGTAGGGAGAGATGGGTAGGATTTCTCATGCTCTCTTTGAATGGGTAGAAGCTTTTATGGTTTCTTGGGTACCTAAGGAGGACATGAATCGAATATTCCAAACGAGTAGGGTTTGTCGTGCACGTTGTTCTTTGTTTATATTTATTTGAAAGTGAAGCATGTCCACGGTTTATTTTTAAACATTATGTTTTCATCTATTGTTCTCTCCTTGATGTGATGTAGATTCATGTCACTACATATCTAGCATAAATAGCTATTTTTCCTGAAAACTTTATCAGCATGTTTTGTTTATTTACCTTGACCCTATAGATAAATCTTAGTGAATTTATTTGCACATTGCTCTTATCTTCATGTGCTCGAAATTATCACACTGTGCTGCATTTTGTAACACGTATTTTAATTCCATAGCATCCTGATTGATGTCTGATGTTGACGCTGTCTTTGGTGTGGTGTATGGTGCTTCATCCTAGCGACTGAACGGTGTCTACCGCATGTCCGCTGCAAATGTTACGTGGGTTTTGTCCTGCTAGGTTAAAAGGGACGAAGGGCTGTGTGCGACTTGGTGTCAGTGGTCTTCCGTGTAGACTGCGGCAGGATGCTTCATTTCGGAGTATCGATCTATCCCATGGCTTCCGTTGAATGACGAACAGAGTTTAAATGTGGGGTCGACCCCTGAGCGTTGCTCAGTGCTCACGTTTAGTGTGGTATACTTGCAAGCATATCCGAGGCTAAAACGGCGACCCGAATGGGTCATCTGAACGGTCGTCGGTTGTTACCGTACGTCGCCGTCCGCCGCTCCCGTCGAACAGGGCGTCATTGGCGAGCTGTCGGTGTGTGGTGCATGGACTCGTTCGGTGAGAAATACAACGAATTTTTATATATTGATTGTCTGAAAGAATAATCCGCTGGATGACCTTGGTTGGGGTTGGTGTGGTGGCCAGTCTGGACAGTGGTTTAAGTTTCAGTGACACCACTGGGGTAGTTTGTATAAACAATCTTGCACAGTTCTGGGCGGGTTTAGCAGTATGGTTTGATTTTCCGGTGAAGTGTTTTCTCACCTATTGGCGTACCGTTTCGCGAAATGGGAATCTTATATATAATATAATTCGCTGTTTATGGGTCACCTCGTCAAAATCTGCTCACTATATCGTCATCGATGCGTCACACTGACTTTCTCTCGTCCTTTTTAGTTGAGTAACAAATGTCAAGCGCACAGGCTGTGCAAACCACGTGTGATAAAGGAAGAAGCGCTCCGGTATGCGGGGTGACCGGTGCAGTGGGCAGTGACCTTCCGCGACTCGTTCCTGCTGCGTGCACTCGGTCCCACCGTGCCGACTATACGGAATGAGACATCTTCCGGACAGGTTACCCCCCTCCCCCCCCCGCTGCGCGCCGCACGACATCCAGTCAGGTCAGAGGTGGGGGGGGGGGGGGGGTCGGAGAGCCGGCCGGACCGGACTGGATCAGAGGCAGCGCGGCCACCGTTGCTGCCTGTCTCACAGTTGTCTCGGTGGTGGTAGTCGGTGCAGGTACGGTTCAGCCCGGGCCCGTACTGAACACAACGGCACATTGCTGGCCCGAAGACGGTTCGCCAGCAGTGGTATCAGCCTGAATTAGTGGTGATTGGGACAGACATCGTTAGTGCGTCGGCCAGGGACTAGCGTTTGGTTCTGACACGTTGGTGCTGGAGTTCTGAGTTTCCAGTGGTGCCGGTGGTGCTGCTGATCTGAGCAACTGCGGTGACGGGCCGCGCGGAACACCAGAAGTGGCTGAGCGGCACCGTTGGTGCGCTGCTGGAATCAGGACTGGTGCGTTCACCAGCCGAGTGGTGCCACTGGTGCTGCCTGAAGTTGGTGCTCGACATGCGGTGGACGGTGGTGCTGGTCTTCGCTCTGGTGAGTACCAACTCAAAATAGACTGAAGTATGACGGTGTCTATATAGTGATTATTAGTACCTATCTAAGAAATACGACAGGCGCGCATTCTTTATCATTTTTTTTTAGGCATGCAAAGGTAAAACAAACCGCAGAACGACTGTGCAAGTAATTCCCCATGACGCCGAACTGCTATTTCGTGCATGTAAGACATGATGTGATTGAAGACATTTGATCTCACTTTCATGGAAAATTAGTGTTAACAGTGTTTATACAGTAATGGATATATCTCTCATCGCTAGGGGAAGTTGGGGCAATGCCGGAGTTGGGGCAAAGCCGAAATTCGAGATATTTCGAAAACCGTAAGACATGGATGCCACCTGTCAGTGATGCTCTGAAGCTTAAGTGACTACAATTATCGCATGTTTGTTACGAGTCGTCATTCGGAATACTTCGACTGTGAGGGCGCCAAGAGCGTTTTCAAGGTACGTTTCCCTTGTACTACATGCGCCTTTGAAGCTGCATTTCTTACTCATTATGCTACCGTTTGTCTGGCCAATTTGGTCAAGTAATCTTTAGCATGTCTTTGCATAAGTGTGCTGCCTATTTGAAATTTATACAGCACGTTGAAAAGTTATGGGCCTGCAAATGAAAGTATGGCAGGCTGGGGTAATGCCGAAAACGTGCGATTACGCACGTGTTAAAAGCACGCTACGTGGACTTTACTGCTGTAGAATAGCAACGCGTATTTTTAGTCACACAAATTACACTTTCAACCGACACAACGGCCTGTTACCTATAAGGAATGATTTAGGTCTGGCATGTTCTTATTATATCACACAATTATAACTTCCAGTGTGCACCGCGTCCTCAAGCTCTTAAAACGCGTGTCAGCTTTGATCAATTCTGGATAAAGTTTGAGATAAAATGGCAAAACATCAATGTCGGCATTCCCCGTAGATCATTTCTCCCATTTTCGGCTTTCCCCGCAGTCCGGGGCAACGCCGAAAAAGTCACTTCTTTGATATTTTTAGTTTGTGCGCTTAACGGTATGCGAATTCATCAAATGCGCCTGGTATGTTTGAAAGGCAAAAGACTGGCCTCTCGAATGACGCCAACAAGAATAGCCTATGTTGTCTACCTTGCGTGCTACGGGCGTCAGAAAAAAAGTCTTCGGCGTTCCCCCAACTTCCCCTACTAATTAGCTGCGTGGGATGTACCGGCCTTTCACCGGCCGACGTGGATCGAAAAACAAACGGTCAGCCATCGCTAGCTCATATTTGATGTCATCCCGTGCCACTAGTTTGTGCCTACTTACCTAGCTAAGAAGGCCGGTTTGAAACAGGTAGACAGTAGACACCTCTCTTCATTCCGGTCACTGGCGTCAAATATAGCAAGGAAGCGAAGCGCGATAGGGGAAGCCGGGGGAAGCCCGGGCGCGGGGGAAGCCCGGCCACCCCGTTTCCGGCTGAATTATTCACAATAAAATGCTCAACTGTTTGTCCTTTCAGCGTGGCAGCTAAGGTAACGCCAGCAAAAAAGTTAAGGCTCACAAAAATTGCATATTGTTAAAGTTATAGCTCAAAAATGATATTTTAAGGGTTTTTAGCTAAAAAGTGAGATATGTTGCACTGTTAATGTTATACCATACAGTACTAATATTTATACGAATGTTATGTAAGGACCGTTTATGTGTTTGTAGTAAGGGGTGACGAGGCAGACTGGCTTAAGTATGACATTTTTTTCGAATATCGCTGTTCTAAAATAAAAATTAGCACATTGGGGTAACCCCGGGCGAGTGGCCAAGCTTACCCCCAACCGAGAGCAATGCCACTAAACCACTGTTTTCCATGAGATAATAGGTACTGAGCAGGTTTGGTTTACACCTAGATCAAAGATAAATTTCGAAAATAAACATGTTATCATAGACAAAGCCAGTCATGTCACTTAAGGTCAACTAGGGTCAAACTACGTTTTTGCAGATAACGCGACAGACAATGAAGCTAGAGCTTCAAAAATGGTGTCGTGTTCTTCTTCATCAGCCGAGTTGAATGATATGCAATATGATGCATTAAGGTAAAAAGAAAAATAAATTGTAAGGAATTTTGAAATACACATTTTTTGTCAATTTTGCATCACGATTTTCATTGACCTGTACTGTATATGTGGTAGACGCTAGCTAAAATACCAGTAGTGACATAAACGCTAAGATGTCCAGAGCTTATCAGTACCTTAATATTTCACTTTCCGTTAATATTTGGAAGACACATAATGGTTTCATCAACTCGTTGTAAAGCGCTGGGGAGGTGGCCGGCGTTACCCCTATGCCGGGCTTACCCCAGAAAAATCAACACTTTTTTAAAACTCGATTTTCTCAACCTTATACTTATTCCACGAAACCGAATTTTTGGGAAAACACGGCCAATGAACTTAGCTAGCTAACAGGATATCAACATTTTATACAGCACGTATGGTATGTAATAAAAATGAAAAAGAGCTTACTATGCCGGGCTTCCCCCGGCTTCCCCTAATACGTCCACCGGAGAAACCAGTTGACGGAAGGGGCGGTCACCGTTCCCAATCCCTGTTGGCGCGTCACAGCGACATCGAAACCAGTCCGAAAGCCCGACTTATCTGTCCCATCCTGTCTGCTCACCGATCTTACCTTGTTCTTACCTTGCAGCTTGCGGTGTGGTCATTGCGAACGGGATAAGACTGGATTCCTTGAGCGCGGTGAACCAGGATGGATCTGACCTAATTCTCGGATGGCCTCTGCGCGCACAGTCGAGTGTCCTGCAGCCCCCTTGGTTAGGCGCTAGTAATCTTGCCCTCGGCAGTCCCCTACGCATTACGTTTACGCTGATTATGTGATCTATGTGATAGCGTGAATTGGACGGACTAGAAACGAATAAATGTTGAATTTCCGCAGGGTATGTGCTTTATGATGTGTCTAATGCTATGTGATTCCTCTCATATTCCAGGCGGCAGGCGCTGGCGGCCAGTCACTGGCAGACCGATTTCTGTCGTTCTTCTATCGGCAAACGTGCGATGACCTGCGTCACTCCCTGTTTGAGGTGGACACCCTGAGCGACTGCTCGGAGGCGCTCGGGTGTCCGCTCAACCAGCACTGCGAACCGTTCACCTGCCAGGGACTGTTCGTGCACCGGTACGTGGGGATAGGGAGGGTGGGAGCGGGTTACTGGCTCTACCGCCTGCTTATAACACGGGTAAAGTTTAACGTGCCGATGTTCTGGTCACCAGGCACCTGCCATGTGTAGCGTATATCCCACCGGAGTGTCATCAATTTGTCTGTCAAATCAACGCCAAACGTCTTTCAATCCGTTTAATCCATAAATTTCGCCGTTCATTTAGTGGCTTCTCTGAAGCGTCGAGGCTGCCGATGCCTTACGTCGATGCTGTCCCTCTGACTCATGTTTCCGACCTTCGCCAGGTGCGTGTCCAACTTCCGTATCGGTGCGTCGTGCCAGCGCGGCGAGCAGTGCAACACGGGCTTCTGCCACCCGACCTCCAGCACGTGCCAGCCGAGCGAGGGCGCCTGCCCGGAGCAGATGCTGAACGCGGGCGGCATCTGCCTGGGACTGCCCGCGTTCCGCGCCGCCTCGTGGACGGACGCACGCGCCGCATGTCCTGCGCTGTTCGGCGTAGGCGCCGCGCTGGTCTCCCCAATCAACCGTGTCGAGCAGCAGAACCTACAAACGTTCCTGGTGCTGCGTCGAGCTGCCGAAGAGCAGCCCTACATCGGCATATCCGACCTACAGCGCGAGGGAGAATTCCTCTTCGACGCCGGCGGCGCCCCGGTGGAGACTTTCAGCGCCTTCCTGGCGGAGGACCTGGCGCTGAACAGTCGCCGGCTCAGCTGCGCCACACACCGGCCCGTGAGGCTCGGGGTCGACCAGAACGGCTGGCAACTCAGTGAGTGTGACGGCAGCAGGAGGTTCGTCTGCCAGGCGGAGCCCAGAGTCGGACAGTGAGAGCTGCGTGACGCCGCACTGGCTTAAATGACACCGTGTAACACACGGTGGGAGAGAAAAACAGCGGCAATGGTGAGTGCGTTGGCCCTTGACTTGTCTCGCAGATCACCGTATACGCGTAAAGACGATGATAGCGCAATGATATCGGCTTGTGGTGACTTGAAAGACGCATGGCTGTCTACGGTGAAGTGGCGATAAATGAACTGTCACATCGCTGGCCACTAGGCTTCACAGATGACCGTGCCCAGTGCGATATGTGCTTTAGAACGTCAGCCCTGCGTCATGCGTGAGTCGGTAGAAGGTCAGCAACATGATCGACAGTGGAAACATACATACACCAGTCTGCAAGTGGAAGACGTTCACGACAACGAAGATGAGCTCAATGCGTTCCGTGGTCACGGGTCATCGTATAACAAGCAACGAGGACAGTGATGAGCCATAACCACCAAGCCTGCAAACGGCCAACCGGACAATGCACGGACCCCACGAGTCCCAGCATTCTTCCTGGCGTGGTGGATTACAGTATATCGTCGGTTATCGTTTCATGTCAGGTGAAACGAGCAATGCCTGAGGAATCAAGCCTTTACGCGAGTTCTGTCTACCTTGACGCTCAACTCGTAGTGCCCGTTTTGCATAATCTTAACGCGACGGTCTTGTGACGGCATCTGATAAGCGGTATCTCATGATAATAATTGACGTTTTTTGATTGAGTACCGAATCCTTACAAGTGCTCGTGGTCTTGCTCAGATCACAACATGTGCATTGGAGTATGACTTCAGTGTTAAGCTCAAAGTATTGAGACGTTACGCAGTGCATATGTGATATGATCTGAGACACCAAATAAGCCGAAAGCCGTATATGTAGATGTCCCTGTGACTAAACTAACCGGACGGGCGGTCTCCACCGACTCCACCGAATACCGTTGCAGCGTTGAAATCAAAGCCGGGTCCCGAACAACTATGACCAGATGTCGGCTACGCTGCTCCTGGGCTGCATCTGAGATGTTGATGTTTAATCGGTCGATGAAGAGCCGCAGTTTGAGTTTGTTGTTTTATTGCTGATGTGTCATATATGGATACCTATTTGTGTGTTTCAAAGACCTGGCGATGAACTGTTTGTCAAAAATAAACGTCCATCACTGTAACTTTTGTTCTGAGCGTTCTGAGTAGCATACCTGCTGAACCAACACGGCGCAGATGATGACGGTTCGTCAGCTCAGTGAAAGCCGTCTGCGGACTCGACTCAGTGGATGGCTGCGGTTGGGATGCGAATGAGGACATCCGGTCTGGCGCAAGGCAATGCGCTGCTTCAAATCCGCCAGTTTCTCCTCACAGAGCCGAGATGAAAAATCTGTGAGTTATGATCTATTGTTCTCCAACAGGTCGATATTTTCATGGAAGGCTTTCAGAGTGATCCCAATGCCATGGCACTTTCTCTTGCACGGTGTAGCCGAAGGCACACCGCTGCGCCTATGCATTTCAGAATGGCCTTCGCCGTTAAATTTAATTGCGTTACATTACAACAATGCATAAAATATTTATAAAACATTTTTCTCAGACGGGATAAGCTGCGAAATATCTTGGAATAAGCCGTCTGCCATTTAGGCTTGCATTACTATTTGAGATCAAGGGCCAAGGTCATGCAAAGTGTTGCATATAAAAGCTGATATATTATATCTACCCTGTGCGTTTCCTAATGCACTTTATCGACTAGTCAAACCTTACAATTACATTACATTTACGGGTGTTACAAAATGCAAACAGCTTACTGATAATTTTATTGCAGTGTTTTAGGGCGTGTGATACGTGTTTATTGCTGTCCTTGGTTGCTGTTGCAAAGGGCCGGCGATTTACAATATTTTTGTGTTTTTTTGGTGACGAGTGGTGGATGGTGAACGATAAAAATATATTCAGAAATTGGAAGAGTTCTTCGACATATTTTTTTACTTCTGGTTAGTATTGGTTGAGGTTCATGCTTTTACCAAACTGACCGATCAAGATCTCGGCAACGAACGTCGGACTTGACAAGTGACACGCCCTGGAAAATGTGTAAAAAACAATTCAGTTTAGTCCAATTAGGCTAATACAGGCTTGCAGGTTTATCAGATTTTAATAACAATTGCAAGCTCCATCCTCATTATTAGTTTGTGTATTTCTGCTGCTCAAACACATAGGTTGCCGTGTAGGTAATTTGCGTCATGCTCATTCATTGGTTTTAATCTCTTTTTTTTTCATCCAGAGGGCTGTTCACGGGCAATATACCCTGGTTCACGGGCACCGCACACTGCTGAGTGCAGTGTGTGCAGTATGTGCAGCAGGCATGGGGGTAGGGGAGGGATAGTCTGTATGATGCCACCCGGCTGAGTGCGGTGGACCGCACACGGCCATCACTGCATCCCGTCCCAACTGGCCACAGCGGTCGCTGTGTGCACTGATGGAAGGCTGACATAGGGGCGCAGTGGGCGGAGCTTGGAGCCTGTGTACGGTCCTACCGCACACAGGGCCCATGAACAGCCCTCAGTGTGAAAATGTTGTTTGTAGTGGGAATGAAGGCTGCATTTGATAACTCCCGGATTGGGATGACAAAGATTTTACAGCTTCAGGGCCAATGCAGTTTGATGTTGGCTCTGCCTGTGACTATCAAATGACATTGGCCTGGATGACTTAGAATTGTTGTTGTCTGGAAGTTTGCCTTAAATCTTTTTTCCAGTAATATGGGATGACCGTCACTGAAAAAAATGTTTTATCACTCCAAGGTTCAAAGCTGTGTACCTACCTAACTTTTTTTAGTTAAGTGAGCTATTTGTGTTTGTCATTCTGTTGTTCTGTTCTTTTCCTATTATTTTCATGTAGCATTCTTTCTCTGCAGCCTGGTTGAGACTGTTGGTCTTCTAGCCACCCATCAGTCCAGCCGCAATGGCCACAGATGATGTCAAGGAAGCCACTGAGGGTGTTGGAGCACTTAGTGTCACTGAGAAGGCCAGCAATAGAGTCTCAGAAAAGTGGGGACTTGAGCTGCAGCATCTCTACCACTTGGCTGTCAAGTTTTACAAAGGTGAGATGACTTGCTGGAAGTGAATACTTTTGTGACACGACATGTAACCTTGTTTTGATGGAGACAATGCTGCCTCACTTCTTTCTATAATATGGCATGATAAGAAAATACTAGTGTGACAAATACTACATCCACATTCCACACCTACCATATGACTTGTACTTAAGAGATTGTCTGGCTGCACCTATCTGTCAATTAACCTATGCTGCATGCTCTATCTGGCAGACAACTCTGGCAAGGTGCTGCAGCCGAGTTATGAGCAGAAGCTGCAGCTGTCGGCTCTGCAGCAGCAGTCAGTCCACGGACCGTGCCGGCCGGACGCGCTGCCGCCGCTCGGAGTGCTGGACGTCATCGGACGCGACCGCAGGTCAGTACGGGCGCACGTCGCCTCGGCTGGTACATGCCCTGAGCAACCAGTTGAAGCATTTTCAAGTTTCATCACGTTGACGCCAACGGAGGACTTATGGGCGCCGACGCAGACACTGTCGAAGACACCATCGTCTAATTCTGCTCCATTGCCACCATCGAGTTGAGGCGAATGGCTCGAACTGCTCAGACAGTTAGAGATGTTTCATCGATGCATATTTGTTGATGACTTGATGACTCAACAACCAACATGCATTACCCATGTGTTTACCGATGCATTGCCCGTAACATTGTGCTACCATTGTCTGCTATCGTGAGCTCGGCAAAAACTTTTGCATTTTGCACTCATTCTGCGCTAGCGTGCGTTTAACGCATATAAACTATGCTATTTGGAACACTTTGTGGTTTGTCATGTAATCTCTTAGATGTCTTTTTCCACAAACAATCAAGAACGGCCGGCAAGACATTTTATAAGCAGAAGCGGTGGCTAGCATTGGTAACGTAGCCATCATTCGAGACCGTCGGCTATCTAGTCAGATGAGGACAGGTGCTTGTCCACAGCGTATTTCTCACGCGGCTTTTACGTAACGTGGAAGCTCCGAGGCGGTAACGCGGAAGCTCCGAGGCGGTAACGTGGGAGCTCCAAGGTGGGCTGGTGTCAAATAAACACAAATAAACACGACGCCTTCACGCGCGACCTCAATGGACTCTGCTCGGAAGTTAAATTTCACCGATCCTCCACCAGATGGCAGGAGCTGAAACCGACGTAGTTTACGTGGCACGTCTCAAACGTCATCAATCAGTATCAACATGGTCATTATATGACACCCTATGAGAAGCGCGGCGTGAATGAACATCCTCGCCCTTGCTCACTCTAGCCCTTTACTCTGCTTAGCTAGGCTGACGGGCGGCTACCTACTTATTTTTCCGTTTGGGCAGGCATTAGGTGGACGTGTTCTACCTTTGCTGACATATTTCTCCGTCTAGAGACACAATTGATGGGTGTGTGCTGCCCCGACTGACATATTTCTCCGTTTAGAGACACACTTGATGGATGTGTGCTGCCCCGACTGACATATTTCTCCGTTTAGAGACACAATTGATGGGTGTGTCAGCTGCCCCGACTGACATATTTCTCCGTTTAGAGACACACTTGATGGATGTGTGCTGCCCCGACTGACATATTTCTCCGTTTAGAGACATAATTGATGGGTGTGTGCTGCCCCGACTGACATATTTCTCCGTTTAGAGACACACTTGATGGATGTGTGCTGCCCCGACTGGCGACTGACATATTTCTCCGTTTAGAGACACACTTGATGGATGTGTGCTGGTGTGCTGCCCCGACTGACGCATTTCTCCGTTTAGGGACACACTTGATGGATGTGTGCTGCCCTGACTGACATATTTCTACGTTTAGAGCTGACGCATTTATCCGTTTAGACACGTACTTGATGGATGTATGCTGCCCCTACTGACATATTCTCCTTTCACAGACAGGCGTGGCAGGCGCTCGGTGAACTGAGCCGACCCGAGGCCATGACTCGCTACATTGAGCTGCTAGACTCTGTGTGTGCTACGTTCCGGCCGTATGCGGAGGCACACAAGTGTGACCTGGAGGCCAAACAGCGGAAACTGTAAGTGATGGTGGGAGGTGTGGGTGGGAGGGTGGATCTCTGTGCTGGCGGGGATTGAGCGAGCGAGCAGTGTGCGAATGTAGTTTCCCATAAGGGTGCAAGATTTCCAAACTATCAACTGAGTTAGTCCAGTAAGTCAGGTGGTTGTCCACGTGCCAGTCAGTCCTGCAGCTCGTGTAGCATCTAGATTGTCGGTGTGACAGGTAAATGAATCGACTGTGTCTTATTTCTGGTCATTTTTGTGTACTGGCCAGCTTCTGCTGGCAGACCTGACCGCTTTTTTTGCTTCATCTTGCCGACCTTGTTGGCATGAGTGTCGCGATACATTTGATGTAGTTTTGCTCCGATGTGTGTTGTAACATCTACAGCTGAGACATACGAGTATTCAATGCCATGTATCCTGTGACATGCCCCTGTATGTGACCTCGGCTTTAACTCTTTCCCCGGGACAGAGAAGAGGCGCAGAACTCTGCCCGCCAGGAGCTTCAGGAGCAGGAGGAGGGTCGCCAGCGGCTGGAGCAGATGGCCATTCAGCAGGAGCAGGAGGAGGCTAGGAGACAGGAGGAGACCAAGTAAGGAGCCGGCGACAGAATCGCGCAGAGAGAATTAATAGGTGGAGGCGGAATGAAATGATACTTCAAGATCGGCACACTCGCTGAGTACCTACCATGTCTAACTACTAGTATGCGGATAGTCAGGCATATGATTTCATATTTTCTACCATCATGTACCCAGAATTTACCGATCGGATCTTAAAGGTCAGGATTTGCGCAACAAGCTTTGTGTTGCGGAGGCTCTGACAGGGGAAATATGCCATGAAAACACTGAGCATTTGATATGAACTTTGACGTAAAGGAGACGCAATGGAGCTTTCAGAAGTTTTATTTTAAAAATCTTTGAAACTCAAAGTCACTCTTGCGTTTCATCCTCGCAGATTTGGTTAGCTTTGTTCCACGAATAGGGCTGATTGTTGAAAACACGCCATGCTATTCAGCTGAAGTTAAATGAAATGCAAGTTGTGCCACATCGAATCATTATTTCCAAGGTTTGCTTCCCCGCAGTGACTGCGGGAAAATTTCGCTGATGTTTTAATGAAGTTGTGGGCTGTACTGCTTTGTGCTTTACAGTTCGCGCCTTGGCTGTTTTCGACGACGCGTAATGCAGCTGTGGCGTCGTGCTCACAAACATTGCCACCCGAGACATTAATTCTGATCGGGAGGTTAGATTGTAATTGGAGAGCTGATGGAAATAGGACCACACCTAGTTATACCAATTGTCACCTGCCACGCAGTGAGACGCGTGGCAGCCATTAGTGGCTAATTGGCTCTAGATGGCTCGCTAGTTGGCTGACAGATCTGCTGTCAGACCGCAGCTGCTACTTATACCGCACCCCTCCCCGCCCCGACCCTCCCTCCTGCGTTGTGCCCCCTCATGAGGCCCGCTCGCGCTAGTCCTCCGCTCATTCCGTTAACCTTCCGCCTCCCCGTCGCGTCGCCGCCGTCGTTCGTCGTTCGTCGGTGGCGGCGGCCGCTGTGACCTTGAGCAGCGATCGCTGATTGGTGGCCGCCAGTTGAGCGGTGGCTGCCATTGGTCAGCGCCCCCGGTGTTCTGTTCGGTGGTGGCAGTTCCTCGTGGCTGTGTGTGGTTGAGGTGCCGGCGGTGGTGGGCGGCCGCCTGGAGAAGTGAAGTGGACGGGATTCATCTAGGAACAGGTTAGAGTCGTGTGCTTTCTTCCGCCTTCGAACGTGTTGGGTCCAAACGGCATCCCTGACGCTTGTGGTTATGTAGAGGCAGGTCGTGGGATGTCACTGATTTTAAAACGGGTCGGCTGGCCAGTGGCTGATTGCTACGTTTTGTCTAAATAGTAATTGGAAACGTGACACGAGTACCGTATTATTCGCTATTGCATGTAAATATTATGGCTTTTTGTTAGCTTCGGGCTAGTTGTACGTGGTCCGTTTTTTATCTTTCTCTTGATATGACTGGTCAGAGAGCATTAATATTTCACGCACGCATATCTAATATCGAACAAAACCTGGACTCTGCATACAAAATTGGCAGCCCAGTCGTGAGTACCTACGTCATAAGTCGTGCTCAAACTCCAATCGCCTAAAAACTGCGAGTGTGCGAGCGGGCCCGCGCACTAATTAGCTCTCCTATAGCAGTGCTTGATGAATTCGCGCTCACGCTGGAACGCAGTTTTAGGCGTCAGAACTGGGCGGGCTTACTGGATTACGAGTTGACTTTGCTGGCTGAGCCCAGTGATCTAGGCCCCCGCCCCTGCCCGTTTATTAATTAGATCGGTAGAGTAAATGTGTGACGTGCTTTTGTTACGCGATAATTGCCTTTGCAAGTATTTTAGTATAACTGTGGCGCTGCTGACCAAATGTCTGTGTATTCTTCCCGGCCTATTGAAGACGCTTGGCCTCTGCCAGGGGTCTCAAAATTATATGACGATCAATTAATCAGCTACGTCGGAGTATTAGCGGTTCAACTGATATGCTCGGTGCTTGATTTCATCCTCTCGGCTTTATCCGCTTTATCTGAAGTATTGTTCTAGCCAAGTCCTAGCTTTCAGGCATATTCGATTCTTCTTCTCTTCGGTTTATTTATAAAGCTAATTCGAGTTATTGAATATTGTTGAGGACTCTGATGTTTAAGCGTGTAACTGAACAAACACCTCGCAGTCACAGACTCTACGCCCGGCTCACCGGAGCGACTTCAACACAAAGTGGACCGACCTTACGGCATGGTATCTACATACCCGCTCTTCTTGATCGGTGGCTGACTTTGTGCTCGAGTGCCATCTGTTTTCATGTAACAACGCTGGTCACGTTTGCCAATAGCGTGCTGAATGATGGACGGCCCAGTTACTCTGTTAGCAAGCCTGGGATGGCTGGCTCTATCAATGGATTGTGTTTACTGAACTCCAACAACTCGTCCAAGGGTAACTCCAATTAAAGACGGTATCAAACATCAAAGTAATGCCTGGAACATTATGGGGATTGCGCTTGTGGAGCTTCAGTTGAGCTGTCCCCGGCCTTTGAAGAAGTTCTCTGTTTGCAACCAAGGCATTCACTTCAATTATAGGACTTATTTGAAGTGTTCATTCCGAAGCTTTTCAAACATCGGCACCGCCGTTCCAGCACAGTATCCGCGGCGTCCCATATCCCATAGCGACGCCCTGCATCAATATACAGCGCCGCTATCAGTCCGGGACAATTGGGGACGTGTTGGCCGCGCGTGCCGCCTGGCTCGCTCAACTGGCCGCCGCCCGGCTGGTCCGTATCGGTTGCCGGTAATCGGCATTGTTTGCGCCTGATAGACGGGCTCCGGTTCCCAGTGGTGGCTGTCTGTGACGACCGCTAACGAACACTGCTGCCTTCATGGCGAGCTGCTATGTGTAGATGTGAATTTTTTATCGGTATGCTGCTTTGTGATGAGGCGGCGCGGTGCGAAAGGAGTCAACATATTCGGAAGTCCTTAATCAGTATGGCTCACTGTTATCTATGTTTTCGTTATGATGCATGAGTCGACGCTTTTAGCTTTCCAGCGTCGATAGAGGGTGAGTCATGAACTGCTGAGTCATATTTAGATACAAAAGCATGCATTAATGTCCTACACATTATAGCATTATTGTGATGGAGCCTTCCTATTTCGGTTCAGCGTGGATCAAGTTACACATGCTCGTCGATACATCCCCGACAAATGGATTCAGTTCTCCGATTTCATCTCCGTTTGTCGCTTAGTGACCGCAGCCGGCTTTCTGCCTCGGTATAAACACAAAGTTGCCGTGGAGACGTGCGCCTTGGCTGGATGAATCCTCGAGAATCCCACTGAGCCCGGCTGACGTAGTTTCAGTTAATGTTGACCGAAATAACTTCTCCAACAAATCCACGAGTCTGAACTCCGACGTCGGCCACGTTTGTGGAACGCCAGACTCGCAAGTCAAAGCCTTCGGTCACTTACAGCTATGTATAGCAATCTGTGTCGTCTGCTTCAGAAGGTACCATGAGCGAGAAATCTGAGTTGTGAATAGCGTTATTTCTGAACGGTCGCCGTCGACTGCCAAGTGCCACCCGACTCATCCGATGTCCGATTTATGGTTCACACTCCGAGTGGAGCATTTGATGACGCGCTACAAAAGACCAGGATGCGGGCTCGCGCAAATGGACACGGTTATTTACTCTCTGTTGGGCTATTTTGTTATTGGTGGCCGTGATGTAGCTTTGCGAGAGAGATTGAACTTGATTTATGTGGAGGGATGTAACATTTATATGAATTAGTTTTGATTGACTTTTGATGCATTTATCATTCTTTCACTCCGAAATGCGATTCCGAAGTGAATTAATCTTTCAGCTGGACTTCTGTTGTTATGAACTCTTCAGCATGTGGTGTTACAGCAGTGGATTTTCCTTAAAGGGACTATACCACCTTCTAAAATGTTGTTAAAACCAGTTAAATTGTGCCCGACTTTATAGATTGGATGACCAGGAACACGGTTCTGGCATTTATTTTTCATTAAACATCTTAGGCTTCCCATATTCCAAACACAAACTTTCAAATATGTGACGTCACAGCCCAAAATTACCTCCTTCCCCAGGCCACATTACTGTCATAAAGCTGATTCTTTTTACTCTGTAGGCACCACAACAAAGTTCAGACCAAGTTTTAAGCGATTTTTCAACGAACAAACCCATTTAAATCAGAATGACTAAACGAGGTGACGTCACACTAACGGTCGCTCCATGTTGAAGATAGGGCCTTGTACAAGGCCCATTGTCAAATGAAGGGAACGAATTTCTTCAACACCAAGAGGCCGCGGGGGTTGCAACCTAGATAGATAGTGGTTTCTGAACCTCGCCGCAAACTTGGCTATCTCAACTCAAACCCCATGTTAAAGGTGGGATAGTCCCTTTAAAACATCAAATGCCTTTGCTCGTAATGTTTCTCGTAAGGCAACTTCAGTACCTTGGTACCTATCTGCGTTTACGCTTTCCATTGTCCGTTTTATTTTCGCAACTCACTGCTGTCTGCCTTCATCCGCCTTCGTCCGTCCGTCCGTCCGTCCGTCCGTCCAACACCTACCTACGCCTGTCTATTCCCCGGCCCGTCCATCCGTCCGTCTGTCCGTCCGTCCGTCCATCCGTCCATCCATCCATCCATCCGTCCATCCCTCCCTCCGCCCGTCCGCCTGTCCGTCGGCGGGCGGCTCGGTCGGTGTGCTCCTGTCCATTGATCCCCGATCGACTGGGCGCTGTGTTCATAGAGAAAGGATCAGCTGGACGCTGTGTTCATAGAGAAAGGATCGGCTGGGCGCTGTGTTCATAGAGCAATGAGCGGATCGCCGATCGGTACTGTGTTCATAGATAAATGAGCGGAAACCGAATCGGGGTCTGGGCACAGCGACAGACGCCGGAGCGATGTCAGGGGTGGCAGACGGTGAAGCGGATGCATCGTTTTTAACACTGATATGGACACTGGTGATGACACGTATACGAACTCTTAAACTGACACATGTAATGCATGAACACTAGCGTTGACAACGATACTGGCACCGATACCAACACCA